ACACACACACACAAGTCCCAAAACCTCGGGGCCCTGGTAAGGTGAAGTGCGGTGAGGGCTAGAGTTCAGGACTTGGCTGTTGTGGGATTTACACTTAACTGTTTGGTTTTGCACTCACCATTTGGTTTTGCAGATTCCTCAACATTTCTACACACACAAACCTACAAACCAGTTTAGAACTGTGTGCTCTGTTGGGTGGGTGGGGGGCGGTAAAGGGATGGGAGGGATCGGGATTGGTCAAGGTCATTGCCGATGAACCAGCTTATGTGACCTAGCTTTCCTCCCGTTTCCAACAAAACAATGACTGATCAAGGCAGGGGATCCTTAACTGAGATCCTTGGATGGGTATTAAGTGTCCAGAAAACCCCTGAAATTATATGTAAAATGTTGGTGGGCTGGGAAAGGGGAAACACCACTGGGAGTGCTTTTTCTGTGGAGAGAGACCATAGCTTTTCATGGATTCTCAAAGGAGTTTGTGACCCATGACAAGAGCGCAAAGCTGTTTGGTTTTGTGGCCCCAGACCAGGTGGTGTGTATAAGCACCACACTCATAGGACCCAGCTAGGCAGGCGGTCATGGCAGTGACAAGATCAGTCAGGACCATTTTGTGGCCAAACAGCTGATGGATTGTTCAATCGGTTGTTGTAGACTCATGTAGACAAAGCCTGCAAGCTTGGGGAAGCCAGGCCCCCCCAGGTCAGCCTCGGGCGACAGCCCCCATCCTGCCAGGCCCTGGGGAGTGAGTCCTTCCTGCCCAGCAGCTCCTTTGCTCATGAGCTGGCCCGAGTCACCTCCTCGTACAGCACCTCAGAGGCAGCGCCCTGGGGCGGCTGGGATCCGAAGGCCTGGAGGCAGGTGCCCGCTCCACTACTGCCTAGCTGCGACGCTGTAGGTAAGTCACTTCCCCCGAGCCTCGCTTTCTCATCTGTCAACTGGGGCGCAGTCCCCTGCTCAGCCTGCCCGCCTGCCTCACAGGGTTGTTGGGAGGAACACAGGAGGTGACAGCCCATAAAGCTCTTGTACACCTATGAGGGATTTCTAGTGCTTTCTCTACCGTGTCCCAGCCCATCTTTGGCAAAGAGACCACCCAAGCAAGCAGAGTGCTCCAGGCGCCTGAGCCTCACCTCCAGGGAAATGAGTGGGGGTTGCCCCGGTTGCAATTACTCCCTCCCTGTGGTACGCCTTCCAGCACCCTGGGTCTTTCCTTGCCTGTCTGTCCCTGCGGCCAGACTGTGAGCCCAAGGGGGACAGGGACTCTGCTTCTGCACCTCTGGATACCCTCCATTACCTGCCTGCTCTGTGCCTAGAGGGTACTCAGGAACTGCCTCTCCTGCCAGCAATCCGCTGTGGACTCTGCACCCCACAGTGTTCTCTGACCCCACTCCACACTCGTGCGCCCTAAAAGTGGGAAGTTGGATCACCTCACTGGAGGACTGGCAGCCAGAGGAGAGCAGACAGAAGGAAGCCAAGCCAAGCCTGTCCACAATGGCTGTGAGTTTGGACCATCCCCTGCAGCCTAGAAGGAACCGCTTGAAGAGTCACATTAGCGGTGGTGGGAGCAAGATGGTGGATGCCAGCCAGAGCGGGCCTTTGCAGGGCGTATCGTTTGGGTCGTGGAAATGTTGTTCTGGTACATAAAATATCAGTTTGCACAGGACATCTGCCCTATCTGCAGGAAAAAAAAAAAAAAACTGGCGAAATGAGCATTTGCTAAGTGATAGTGATCAGAAGATGGTCATCAAGCTGAAAGGGCGCCGGGATTCTGGCCTTTAATGGAAGTTCTGCTTTGGTAGGTACAGCCTTGTTCTCCTTATCCTGCCAGCCCCAGCCGGGAAGAACAAGCAGTGCCTTTTGCTCAAGGTCTATTGATTCCTGCCTCTTTCCCCCTTTTCTGTGTGTGCTCTCAGAGTCACCGTGTTCCTCAGCCCTTCGCTCTTCAGTTGAAACCTGAGAAATCACGTCCAGCACAAAGCCACCAGGAAAACAGAATTAGCAAAAATGGATGGGGATATGGTCCACTCAGGATGTCACTGTTCCACCCTAGTCTTCCCTGCCTTTCCCTTCCCTCAGAAGTCAAACATTGAAGGGGATCCCAGCTAGCTTGCCTCAAATTCCTAGCCCCTACCTTATTATGTCTCTTCCCGAGGCAACGCCTTCCACCAAGCAGTGGAGGACCAGGCAGACGCTTGGCCCCCAAATCTTTCCTAAGAATCTCTGGAAGTTGGACCCTCCTGGGGGGCTTTGAGGGACAGAGCCTTGCCAGCTCAGCCCATGACTCAGGAAGGCCAGACTCAGTGTGAGACGGAGGACGCAGGCACCATAGGGGAAGAAGAAAGGTGAGCTGCAAAGACGTTTGTTTCCTCTGCCCCAGGATTGTTCCCAGCATTGAGGCCAAGCCCTTCCGGGAGCAGGCAGCCCTGAAACCACCAAGACGGAGGAGGAGTCAGAATAGAGTTCATGCAGTTGGAGATCAAGTACAAAGACAGAAAACCGGAGACTGAAAAACCTGAGCTACAGCTCTCTGCTGTTGGCTTTTGGTGGCATTGATTTTGTGAAGCCCCCAGTGACAGCCTCAGATGGGTTCCGACCCAAAAGCAGCAGCGTCACCATTGGGGGAGGTCTCTGGCGTAGGAACGCCAAGGGCCGGGAGGGGCACAGAAAGACCCTAGCAGACTACTGCTGCACCAGGCTTCACCTGTCTTAGAGAATAGTGTGGCAGGCTCTGATTTACCCTCAGGATCCCATGCCCTGACCCAAGGTTTCTGCCGTGCCCACCCACTCTTGATCCCTTCACTCTGTCGTTATCTTCTTTAGAAGACGTGTCACCATCTGAAGTGATCTTCCTTGACTGACTTGTATCTTGTCAGTTTCCCCCTCCATTATAAGCTCCGGAAGAATGAGAAGCCCAGCGCTAGCCCACAAGAAGTGTTTGTCCACTGATTGACAAAGGGACTAACCGAGCTGCTAAGTAAACCTTGTCTTCCCATCCAGTCCTTGAGCATGTTCACGCTGGGGGCTCCAGAGCCACTGAGGCCCACATGTCACTGGGTGCACTCTGGACCAGGAAGGGCATTGAGCAAAGGCAACTCAAAAGAACAGGTGTTGGGCAAACCCCTTCTCCCCAGATCTTGGCCTTAGCGGTCCACGGAGAGGCCTCCTGGAGAAACTGAGTCACGGGTTCTGAGAGTTAGGAGGGACCGGGAAACTATGAACCTCATTTGTCATTCACTGTAGGAAAAAGCCCCTGTGGTTTCGAAGGACACTGAGGAGGATTATAGCCGAAAAGAGTCAACACCCCCTCAAAACAGGGCTCCCGATGGAAGTATCTGACTGCCTTCATCCATCGGCCATGACAAGCCAGAGCCCATGGGTATCAGGGGACCCCACCCCCATGGGAGCAAGAGTCCCAAGAATTCTGATCTTGATTTTATAGTTTCCAGGCAGAAAGCTGTCTTCCTGTCATTTCAAAAGAAAAGTCAAAAGGTGGGTGAGTTGTTTCCAAATCTAGCTTCCAGAAACTACAAAAGAAGGTGATTTTCCTAGTGGAGTAATAAACAAACAAACCTACACAGTAGAACTCATTAACCTTTGAACCTTTAAGGTAGCTGAGTGCCTTCAGCGGCCAGGCAGGCTGGCTCCCTTTGGGGACACTCAGGGGGTGGGTCTGCTTGGAAAGGAGGCCTAGTTACCTAAAAGCAGAAAAAGATCTCCCTTTTTCCCTCTCCCCCACTCCTTCTCACCCTCAATGTGCTCTACAAAACAAGGCTTTGGGCCCATTCCCTGCCATCCCCCTGGAGCTATTCCTTTGGAATCCCCTTCTGAGTCAGAATGCTCTCCTCCTGCAGGGTCCTGGGGACAGTAACCTCAGTCTGAATCTGGCTGAAATCCAGAAACCCTTTGTAGGCTTTTGTCCATGAGTCCTGCTGGTCCTTTGCTCTTCCTTCTCTCCCCCATCCCCCATCCAGTTTAGAGTCCCTCTGATTAAGTGATTGAATCTGGCAACCACTTTCCCTGCAGTGGTGAGAAAGCATCCAGGTGGTTGCACTGGGCCTTATAGGACACACTCTCCTGCAGTGGCTGAAGGGTGAGGTTGACACAGCGTCTGGCCTGGCCTGCTGGTGGGGGACGCTGTGTGAGGCTGGGCTGTGCCAGGGGACAGTGGTGGGGTTCAGGCCAGCCTTTGGTCTCTCTCTCTCCGTGAGGAAAGCACAGCTAGGCTCACACAGCACTCACCTGACACTGCTCTGTCAGTGTCACCTGGCACAATAGGACACCTCCACAACTGCGGCACTAGAAAAATGAGTCATTTGATGACCTTCTCCAGAACCATGCTTATGAAAAGCCACAGGTTGCCTGGGCCATCATTCACAAGTGTCTGTCACTAAGCAGCAACTTTCAGCCATCACTTCCTCCTGGTCACTGAAAACATTTGTCATTTCCTGTTTTCTCCATTTTCCAAAGATTCCAATTGTCAGTGTCAAAAGGCAACAACTGTTTTCTTGGGGCTTATCTTTGGAGCACATTGATTCAGAACAAAGGATGGGGGCCTCCGTCTGCAAAACAAAGGAAGCAGCCTCCCAGGGAGGCCTCCTCTGCCAGGGCCAACAGGACCAGGCCAGGAGCAGAGGGCTGCCTTGGCCTCTGGAGGCCCCAGGCCACTGAAGAGACTCCTGCTTGATGTCTGTGTCCCAGGATGCCAGAGGCCCAGCCCCACAGGCCGGGTGTCACCGTGCTATGTGAACTTGAGAGTTTCTGTAGCCATGCCGCTGACCAGATTTGCCCTTAAACTCGGGAAGGTCCGGATTTTCTGCTTCCTTGGATGAACACTGGGCACTGTCCCGTGGTCCCTGTAACGCCGGACTGCTCAAGAAGCATTCTCTTTCATCTGGCCAACACCACCCAGTTTCTCCACCCCTTGCCCCATGGGTGTCTTTCCTCTCTACCTCCTTCCCTTTGGACTCTTCTGCCCTTCCCTGGCTTTTTCTTCGGTTGCGCTCTATATTCTTCCAACCTGCCCCCTGGCCCCCACCCCCACCCCTTGTACAACTGCGTTATTTGAGGCAACTAATGGGGCAAACAGTGGAAATGGATTTAGGGTGGGTGTTGACCCAGCCAGCCACAGGAACCAGACCCCAGAAGCAGCCGGTCCCCAGAAGCAGTGGGCTGGAGAGGCCAGAGCACCGGGTCTGCTGTTGAGACACACGGCACTTCCTAGCCATATCACGTTGGGCATGGCATTTAACCTCTCTGAGCCTCACATGTCACATTAGTAAGCGGGGGGCTGTGGATCTTCTGCCCAGATCTTGGCCGCTGGTATAAGGATGGAAGGGAAGAGCAGAAGTGAAAGTGCTGGCCCAGGGTGAAAGGCCTGCCTTCAGAAAGCCTGCCTGCCCCCAGTGTGGCAGGCAGAGCCTGGCTTCGATGCCCTGCTTCCTGCCTCGGGCAGCCACGTGACCCCCGTGCTACTCGGGGGCCAGATCCCTAACTGCAATGATATGAAAGAAGGGTGCGGGCGGCTCAGCACAGTGAGCATGCGTGGGCTGGCCCCGGGTGCCCCATACTCTAGCAGGAAGAGGGCAGCTCCATGGGCAGCCCCAGGAGCAGCCCCCCACCGCCTACATCCAGCTGCCCCGGTGGAGGAGGACAAGAGCCCAGACAGGAAGCAGGCTAACTGCAGGATGGTGAAATTGCTTCTGGCGTGGTCTGCCCAGTGCCTTGTGTCTGTCCTCTGCCGCCAGGCTGGGAGCCCAGCACTCTCCGAAGCACCAGCCCCACTGGGTGCAGAAAAGCAGGCCCCGCTGGGCCGCCCATGTTGTAGGTCAAGTCCTCTGGCATCTGGGGAGGGGGTTGCAGCTCAAAACATGGGCTAAGGGGTGGGAGCTGCCTTGGTTGCCAGCACACTGTGGAGCAGGCTTCCTGAGAAGGGGAGAGAGAGGGCATTGGGCGAGATCTGGGTCCCAGTCACCACCTGGAACCAAATGGCTGAGGGTCTCCGGGTAAGTCGTGCCCCCGGCCCCTCATCCGGTTCTCTGCTATCTCCTTGGGCCACTGAGACTCAGTGCTGAGACTGCGGCCCTGAAGCTCGGCTCCTGCCCCAGCCCACCAGCCGTCCCCTGAGAGAGAGACAGGAAGCTTGTCCCAATTACCCATCCTACAGCCAGGCAGGAGAATGACGGGAAGTTGGCAGTAAGTGGCTACTCTGGGTGGCAGACAATGCATTTATCTGACCATGTGATCATCCTGCCGTTCATGCCAGGACCACCCAGAAGGAGCCTGAGCCCTTTCCCCGTGACAACCCTGCAGAAGTGGGGTACCCACCACCACATAGCCCAGAGTCTGCTCTGCCCCAGCCACGGTGTCCCTGGTTCGCTTAGCCATTCCTTGTCTGCGTGGTTCCGGGTCCGAGCCCTACCCCTATCGCTTAGCATCCTCAGAATATAGCCAGTTCGTCTGGGTCTCCTTGAGGCTAGCCTGCCAAGACTGTTGTCAGCACTGTAGACATGGTCTGGCCAAGGCAGAGGAGTGTAGGACTGTCACCTCCCTCCTTCTACATACTCTGCTTCTATTAATGCAGCCTAATGTTACATTTGCTCTTTTGGTGACCACATCTCACTGCTGGCCCATCCTGAGCAGAAGGACATCCAAAATGCCTGAATCTTTTCTCTGTGTGCTGTTGCTGTTAAGCTCTGTCTCTCCCGCCCCCATCCTATGCTGTCACAGTTGATTTTTTAACCCAGGTGCAGAATCCTACTTTTGTTTATACCTGTGGAGTTTTGCGCGGGAGGGTGGGGCATGCATGCAAGTGTGTGTTGATGTGTTCACTCATGCTTTCTGCTACACCAAAGCCAAGTCCTGGGCCCCCATGCAGCAATCCCAAGGCCGAGTTTCTTGGTAGCCGCTATCTAACACATCTTTTTCATCTTCTGTTTAGCAAGAGAAGCAGAGATCAGGTCTTATGGCAATGACCCCTGAACAGCGGAGTACATATATTGCCCAACAGATGAGTCAGTTTCAAGGTAAGCAGTTAAGGTCATTGTTCCCAAAGGGGCAGGCTGGAGTGGGGGGCGGGGGAGGGGGAACAATTCACTCCAGAGTAAGCCGTTACTGTCAGTGTTTCTGAAACTCCTGAGGGAGAAAGGGGAGGTCTGCAACTCAGTTAAATAGCATGCAGCTGTCCCCGCCCCCCAACCACCACCACCCCAGCCACTGCTGGAGTGACCTTCCACTCTAATCATTCCTGAGCCATCCCTCAGGTGTGGGCAGTGGGACAGGGGTTGAGGACACTCTTCCTCAAAGAGTCTGTGGCAGGGGTTCCCAGAGCCTACACACATAGCAGGGGTCCCTTCCCTACCACGGCAGCTCTGAATGGGCTCAACATTTATTGGCCGCGGATACAGTCCTTAACAAAAAAGCCAGGCATGGTCCCCACTTTGTGGAACTTTCACACTAGCTGGGGAGATGGGTGTGAAACAATACTTAGCAGCCAGCGGAGCAACACTGGGCTGGGCCAAGAATGCCCTCACCTGGTTTTAGCCCAGTGCTGCCTCCATTCTCCAGCAAAAACCCCTGTTCCTTTGGGCCTGACACCAGCTGAATGTCCTCCCTGCCCAAGCTGGAGTAGCATGTCAGGCCATACTTCAGCTGCAGTGACAGGACAGACAAGTTCCAGGAAGGCCAGAGGCAAGGGGTGGACCACTGTCAAGGCGTGTGCAGGGCCAGGCCTGTGTACGGAGTGCTGAGTATAAAACCAGACCCGGACCCTGGCCTTGTGGAGCTTATGATCTACCTGAAAAGACAGACCAAGAAGCTGGCATTTTCATTCCAGTGGGATCGTATGTCGGTGTGTGTGTGGGGAGAGCTGAGGGTGGAGAAAGAAGGGGAGTTGAGAAGAGTTGAGGAGCTGAGTGCAGAAAGCAAGAAATCAGTGCCAGGCCAGTAGCTCCCCAGCGGCAGCTGCAGCCCAAGTTGAAGGTGACTGTGGAACTGACCGCCACTTTTCCCTTTCTGTAGCCGTCCAAGAACAAGTCACGTCCAAGTGTAACCAGACTGAGGCAAGCCCCCCATCCAACCAGCCTATGATGCCACCCAGAGCTGGGCTCCTTCAGAACAATCTGAGTCCAGGAATGATCCCACCCACCAGGCACCAGAGCCATGAAGGCATGGGCGTGATCTCACCGACTCCGGGCAAGCAGCAAGGAATTTTCAACTCCGGCCCCCTGTTTCCCGTACCCTTGTGCCTGGGCCAGAACCCCCTAAGTAGCCTCGGTTCTGTCTGTCGTCGTCTGCAGATTCCCAAGGCCACTCCCTCAAGAGTGCCCCTGCCTGGGTTCTGTCCCAGGCCCCTGAGTAGCCAGCCCCCGAGCCCCCACCAGCTCAGACAGCCCTGTGTGCCAAGAATGCCTGCAGTGTTCAACAATGCTACATGGGCGGCGGCGGCAGCTGTGACCACAGCGGTCTCAAGGGAACCGGCCTTGAGCCATGTAGATAATAGCGTCCAGCAGCATTTTGATAGCAACTCCATCTTCACCAAGGCGCCCGCAAGAGTTCCCATGGTAGCCCCGACATTTCCACCGCATCAGGCAATTGCGCCCCCCAATCAGGTGACCCCAGGAGGCAGGCCAGGCCATAAAGTGAGTGCGGCTCTGGTTGACCCTAGCTTCAGCCCGCTGGGCAACCAGAGCCTCGGCCAGAGCCCGGTGCAGGGTCCCGTGCCTGCGCTCAATGCCACCAAATCCCTCCAGCAGGGAATGGCCAGCTTTGGTCCTATGAGTCCCATACAGGGCATCGAGCCGCCAAGCTACATGGCCGCCGCCGCGGCCACCGCCTCTGCCGTCGCTGCCAGCCAGTCCCCAGGTCCATTCCCCAGAATGGGCAACCCCCCTGAGCTGCCACCCTATGACTTTCTGCCCCAGCCCCAGCCCCAGCCCCAACTAAATGGTCTGATCTCACCCCCTGACTGTAGTGAGGCGGATTTCATCGAAGCTCTGTTGAAGGGCCCCAGCGCAAGCCCAGAGGAAGGCTGGGTGTGCGACCTGAGGCTCATCGACGATATTTTGGAAGAGCACGCCACCGCCCACGATGCTGCCACCCAGAGCGCGGGGGGGCTTTAAGTGCCCGTGGAAAACCCTGCGCTGCCACCACTTTGGGCAGTGGCTGGACCCATAGCAAATTCACAGCCACCTCCACAGCCACACAGTTTCCTCATCACATTTGAGTGGCATCAGCCTGTGCTCATCCCTGTCTCTACCTGTGACAAAATGGAAAGCTGGTGATTTTTCAAGCTACCTGTACATATTTGAAAATTTTGTAAATGGTTTTCGTAAACGTTAATGACAGAAGTATTTATACTTCATTTTGTGACTTTGTAAATAAAGTGACGGCTTTTGTTTCAGTAGAGTTGTGTTTATTATGCATTGTTTGTGTTTACTATACATTGTTGCAAATATGCAGGCTGTGTTCTTTGCCCCAGGGCTACCTTGTTAAGCTGGTTGTTAAGCCCCAGCACTACCTTAGAAGCCAGGTGGTTGTTGCTTATGGTTTTGATGTAATGGCAGGTGTGGATGTGACCAAGAGGCATTGTACAAACTGACAAATGCCAAGTAGAAACCCCTTGGCCATTTATTGCCATTTTCACTAAAAATTATATCGTCTTGTGTGATTCTTAAACTCTTAAACTCTTTCGCAAACCTGTTGGGTCTCCGCTGGCTCTTTCCTGATGCACATATTACAGCAGAAGCTTTACAAGTGCCCCGCAGAGGAAATTTGCCAGGAGGCTAAGAGTTCTGTAGATTTGGGAGGGGTGAAAAGAGAGCCTGTGAGCTGAACACTGGCTGCGCTGTCCACCTTGAGGATCTAGAGTGTTCTCCGTTTATCATTCAGACAGAGAAACCCCCAGGTTCACGCTTCTCCAGTGGCACCTTGCAGGGTGGAGATTAGATGTACCTGGTTTAAAGCCTTTCAGTATTTGTTTTCATGTATGGTCTGTGGTTGGGGGGGGGGAGTCTGTAAACATTAATAGTTGATTTGGGGTTTGTCTTTGATGGTTTTTATCTGCAATTATTGTCATGTATATTTAAGTGTCTGTTATAGAAAACCCACACGTGTTCTGTAAACTTTTTCTCAGTGTCCAGACTCTGTGTAATCACATTTTAATTGCCACCTCCTATTTCGCCTTTACATTTGAAATCTGGCGTCTGTTTCAAGCCAGTGCGTTTTTTCTTTGTTCTGTAATAAACAGCCAGGAGAAAAGTGCCTCTATGTTTTCAATTTTCAAGGGAGAATTCAGTACTTACAAAGCCATGGCAGCTAAGCCTGTTGGTGTCTTTGGTTCTTTCAGAGTCTACACGTGCCTTGTGCACCGGGCAGGCCCTGACCCGAGGGGCGAGGGGTAAAAAGTTTGCCTCTGCCATCAGTCTGCATCACAGCACGGAAGCACGTTATTTTTCACTGCAGCCCTTCATTTTCCAGAGAAGGAAGCCGAGGCCACTGAACCAAGTGCACTGGGGGCAGGGGGCAAGGGGAAGGGGGAGACTCCCACTGCCAATGTAGACCCTCTGCACCACTATCCTCTCACCCCTGAGAGGGTGACAGACCCAATTAAAGATCTGTATTCTTCCCACTTAAGGGACACCCATGTAGGGCGGCGAGTTGTGGGGGGGGGGGGGGGGGGGGGGG